TACATCGGGAACAGCTCTAGAATGGTGCTAAAACCTTTTTTGAATAATCTGTTTGCCGTCTAGATGAAAAAATATACTTTAATGAATTGATTAATAAACACACAGTGTTAAACTTTTTCTTCACATTTCAAAAAAACTAATCTCTTTTAAACTTTACTCCGGTCATTTTTTCGATGTCCACATGATCAGTACATGAGCATGATATAATTTTTCATTTGCATTAAATATTTTCTGTTATCAGCAATTCAACTTTAATTTGAGAATAAGTTGATTGTAAAAAAATATTTATGTAATTATAAGCTTTTGTAGACCACCAGATCCGCGCGGAGACGAACGCTGTAATAATTATAATTCAGTATAATAACATATTTCTTCTTATGGATCCTAGTTGGCTGATAGTCCTTTTATACTATATGAACACATAATATGATGAAGAAAATATGCTGCAAAGAGATAAAATAAAGCAGTTTCAACAAAATTTCTTTGCTATAAAAACTCTTAAATATCAAAAAAAAATCCCACAATATGAGTCTATTAAATAGCAACAGACATATTGAGTTCATCAATATATATTTCTTACAAATATTTCTGAACAATGAAGATTCTAATTATGATAATGATTTTGTATACATACTTATTTTGATATAAAAATAAAATAGGGTTCCAACTCAAAATGTTTTTTTCTTGTTTAACTGCAATTAGTTACTTTATAACTTCAGGTTACATGTACAAATCATAATAGATGGTTTTCATTGAGTTTTATAAATTCAGTCAATCCTTCAAGATTTAAAATTTGCTTGTATTTATTAAAACACGGAATCATATATAATATTCTTTTAATACAAAACAACATACTCACCCAAATTCAAAATAACTCACATTCACACTTAAAAATATTAAATATATGTACACAATTATTTAGTTTTCTCATGAATGTTTTTTCTTCATGAAGGTTTTTCAAATATTTGTTTCATACCCGCTGCCTGATTATTCACAAATTTCATACTTTGTGCTGTATCAGTTATCCAGGGTGAGTCAAACTGGTTGTGTCTTGATCTACTAAATGAGTGTATTTAGTACGTCCAGAACGACCAAAGTTTTAACTTGCATAACCTGAAAGTAACATTTGTTTAATATAAATATGAATAAGCTATCCATTATCAATAATAATAATCAACGATTAAATTAATGATTGTATTAATTGTCAAATTCATATTTTTCATTCTGTTCATTACCTTTGGCAAAACAGTTTTGTCAAAGTGATCGTCCAATGTTGCTCCACTGAAGTCCTGCTTGTACACAGCATCTTCTTCATCCAAATAGAAGGCACCACGATGATAGTACTTTTGTAAAAACTTGTATTTTCCTTTAACAGCTTTATTGGTGATAACTTTAGGCTTAGCTCTAAGTTCTTGCCTTCTTCCTCTTCAGTTAATGATCTAATTCTTTCAACTTCCTGTTTTTCTAAGAACATCCTGAAATAAAAAATAATTTAGTATTAGTAATAAATTAAGGAAAAGAACAGATATGTTTTGAAAAAATACATAATCTGAAGATAGAATTAAAACAATTAAAAATTATGCAAAGATTTTCAAAATATCAATGAGTTAATTTATCACATATTGAAAAAAATTCAAAAACCTTTCTCTTTCTTCACGATCTCTTTTAATACGTTTTAATTCTCTCAATTTCCAAGCTTCAAATTCCAATTCATCATTATCATCATCTGTATTAACATCTTCCAAGCGTGGATCTGTAGTTGAATTCTACAAAATGAAACAAAAAATTCAATACAATATTAGTAACTTTTATTGCATATTGCATACCTTGCTTTCTTGAATATCTTTCCTAATGCTTTCTTCAACCATTCTTAAGTTTGCCGTTTACGCTCCTCAGCATGACGTTTGGCCTCTTGCTCTAATTGCTTTGCTTTTGTGCTTCCTTTTCTCGTTCAATTAAAGTAACTCTATCCTTACGACTAACAAAGACAGGTTTCAGACGAGGCCCAGTTTCATTTTCTTCATCATCATCACTTTCATCAGTAGTATATTCTTCATAACTCTCAGAGGATGATCCAGAGCTATCTGAATCTATCAATAGCAGAAAACTTTGTGTTATAATTTCTGAAATTAAGACATACTTTGTCTCTGACAGAGATAATATAACTATCTGCGTTAATAAGTCAAATTTAAAATTAATATTTATGTAGTTTATTTAATCAAAATTAACCTTTCTCTGCAGCTTCTGCTGCTGCAGCTGCTTCTTCTTCAGCTCTCCTTTTAGCCAACATACGCTCTCGAAGAGCTCTACGTCTCCTTTCAATTTCATCATCACTTAGGTCTTCTTCATCTGTGCTGCCGCCTCGATCTGAACCACTGTCTAATCTAATTGGTCTTCTTTCTAAAATTTCAACAGTCTCTGGAATTACCTCTTCTTTTCTCTTTTTCAGTTCAGGTTCACCCTCATCTAGAATCTATACAATTCAAAATATATTAGAAATTGAAATAAGTATTGGGAATGGTTCAGTTTACTCTAAAGATGTTAATAATATTAAAAGAAAATTATATATGATAATTTTGCTTTCACAATTTAATAAAATGTAATTGAAAAATGTAAAAAATTTTGGATCCTAAAAATAAAGTTATTAAAGATCAATTTAAAGCATATTCTTTAAGCACTTTTTGTTTACAGATATACATTATATGAATTATTAACTCTAGCTCTAATTGTAAGTTAATATAAAAAAGTGCATGTTCATTAGTGGAAGAGAAGAACCTTAAGTTACATTTAGTGCAAAAGAGTACATCATAAATCAATCTCCGACGACACTATTGACGAATGTAAAAAACAATTCTTTAGAAGAAGTAAATACTAAATTAAATCTAGTTATGAATTCAATTCGAATTGGTTCAATTGTAATAATCTTTTGCTCAAAAATGTCAAAACCCAAATTATGTCTTTTCGAACAGTAAATAGGATAAGTCATGAGATCAATTCTGTAACTATCAATAGCATTTGAATTTATCTTAGTCTCTAAAATTTCTAGGTATCCAATTACAAAAAAAAATTGAACTGGGACAATCATATTCATTCCATACTTGTACCTAAGTTAACAAAAAATTGTTTCATATGAGGATTCTAAAATCAGAAGTTAGTTTAAATTTTCTTCTTTCAATTTATTATTCTAATTTCTATTCACATCTCGCATATGAAATACAATTCTGGAGATTCTCATCATACTTAAAGGATATATTCAAAATACAGAAAAGAGCATTAAGAATATTTTTTTCCCGCAGTTCCGACAATTTAACATTCTCATTGTTCCCTGTATATTTTTGCAAACTACGTTGTCATTCATAAAGAATAATCCCAAACGCTTCTACCTATCCTCTATGTCAAATTCCTATTATAAAACAAGAAATTTGACTATAAAAGAACCAACTTTTACTTGAAACATCTTTCAATACCATAGACGGAAGAAGAGAACAGCTTTTTAATCCACTCCCATTACATGTTAGCAAATTGAGTGATCGTCAATTTCATAATACCATCGTTGAACTTTTAAAAGCCCAAAGTTTCTATGATATTTCTATATTTGCCAATTTCGATATCAAACAATATTTTGATGATGAAATGCCTACTGTTAATATCTGATACTTTTTTTCCAACAGTTACAGTTATTTTTTCCTCTTTACATATTTTTTCTAATTTTTATTTCAAATTATTTTCACATTTTTCTACCCTAAATATTTTATCATTACAATTATTATCATATTATATTCTTATTTTAATACTGCTCTTAATTATTATTTTCCAGATTTGTGACTTATATGAAAATTGCATAATGGATATTTAAAGGAATTTTTTTACCATCAGAAGAATCTCAATATCTACAAGCCTTAAATAAACTATATCAATATTATAACATTTTTTCTTTGAGTTATTGCATTAGATAATACTAATGTTAGGTTTAATATTGTTTTAGAGTTGTATTTTACTGTAATGAATTAAATTAAGATCATTTATATTCTGTAATTACTAAATTTAATCCTGTATCCGAAATACAAATATACATAAATATAAATTTATTAATCACCTCAGGTTCAGCAATATGTCTTCTTCTTTCACCTCTTTCTTCAGTAAACGCAACATCATTTTTACGAGCTGTTAATCTTCTGAGCCGTGGATCATCTGGATCTTGGTCATCAATTGTTTCAGGAATTTCTTCTTGTTCTTGCAAAGCATCTTCTGATCTTTTTTGACGATAATTGTTTTTATTATCAATAAAATCGTCAGTCTCAGACTCTTCTTCAGAAGTTTCACTTTGAGCATATTCAGGTCGTTTGCCAGATACATATCTCTGGACTTTAACTTTTTTCATAGACAATTCACCTAATAATAAAAATAAATAATAGAAACAAAATCAACGGTAAATAGAACATAACATAATAGCATTTGATATAACCTTTTTCATTTCGAACTGGGACAGCTCCGGCAGTACTGTGGATACCAAATTGACTGTGTATATTTATCATATTGATTTTTGTGTTTTTATTTTAATATAACTTTGATGAATTTTAAGTGTTTACGATTCCTGGCAATTTACATTGTTTTACAAGGTGCACGTTTTTGACAGACAGGTGAGCCAACCTCAACACAACACAAATTTTAACAGTTGTCATACCTGTCATATATTTTGTTTGCTATTTGAATTTTATAAACTTCAAAAGTATTGCATTAATAAATGACAAATAGTTTCATCTATTTTTTATATAATTCATACATAATACATTCCAAAGGACTGTCACACAATATTGTAAATATTTTGTATATTTTTAAACTAAGCGCCTGCTTATATCCTGAATATGTTACCATGGATACAATGTGTAAGCAAATAATAGCAATTATTTTGTTTATTAACGTCAATCAGTGTAATCATAGACAATACATAATTGCGACAGAATGGTTTATATTTTTATTTAATACTAATATTATTCAATATGTCTGAAGCAATAAGCAGTGATGTTATTAAGAAGACTCAATCAACACTTGGAAAATTTGTGAAAAAGCCACCTCTAAGCGATAAACTTTTATCAAAACCGCCTTTCAGATTTTTGCACGATGTTATAATGGCGGTTTGTAATAATAATAATTATAATATTAGATAATGATATCCATTTTTAATTTTGAAAAATTTCAGGTGATGCGAAATACAGGATTTTTCAAAGGTCTGTATTCGAAAGAAGAACTGAATTCTGAAAATGTTAAAGAAAGAGACAATAAAATAGTTTTTCTGCAGAAGACAATAGAAGTCGTCAGTAAGTGCAAATATTGATGTATATTACGATTACTGAACGTTATAAATTTGATGATGATATTTATTTTATTATATCATTTTCAATTGATTAATATGAAGTGTTATATAAGGCTCAATAATAATTTTATTATGATAAAAAATCGATTGTCTAGTTTTATCTAAGTAATTTCTCCTAAAATGAAGAACCAGCAATTGTTATGAAATTAATTGCATCTTCTAATCTGACAAATTAAAAACTAACTGATCATATATGAAATGATAAAATTATTTGTTCTACTTTTTAAGAGAAATTGTTTTTACAATTAGATAAAAACCAACAAAAAATTCACCAGCAGGTTTAACTTGATTGTTTGTGTCTAACTAACAGCATTATTATATTTTTGTTGAATAAAATTGTTATAAACAAAATTTCGTATTCGGTAAATACATTAAAGTGATATTTTGCCTAATCAGCAGCAATATCGCATCGTGGCAATCCGTAATGTATGTTGCATCAACAGGAAAAAAAAGACTTTTTTAATTTATTTTATAGCCAAAAAACTACTTCCAGCTTGCATAATATTGTACTATACATATTGTGATTTAATATAATATAATATAATATGATTATCATATCATTCTATGTATACAGGGTGTTTCAGAACTCACCTCGAACTTTTAAATGCAACCAAGAACTTTGGTTAAACTTTTTTCCAGGTTAAATTTTAATCCAGTCATTTAAGCTTAAATTATAGGTACAAAATTTCCAAATTCGAGATACCCAACTGTAAGTCTGTAAATATTGTATATTGACACCCAAAAAGTTGTCTCAAAACCTACATTTGTTGCGTACACCCTACCATATGTTGGTTTTGAGACAACTTTTAGGGTGTCAATATAGAGTATTATATGTATAGACTTACAGCTGGGTATCTTAAATTCCGAGGTGATCTTACTATAATGACTGGACTAATTTGCATATATTTATTGCCGATTGAAATATACATAATTTTTTAAGACAGTATGCTGGTTTTTATGCCTTTAAAAGTTTATCTCAAATGAGATATCTCCTTTTTTATTTTTGTTAAACTGTGACCCATTTTTGATCACCACTAAAATTAAGTTTTATTTATTTTGTTCATTGGGATCCGTAAATCTGTAACATTTTTAAAACCACAAACAAAAATGGTGGCAGAATTGCCCCCAGTTTTCAAAAATTAAGGTGCCAACAAAATCTTCAAAATTGGTCCACATTGAGAGGCCCGCCTTTAAAAACAATACTAAAGTGCGCTGGAAAGTTACATCAAAAGTTGGCGCCTAATCAGGATACTAAAATGGTAAAATATTCGATAGTTTCATAATAAAAGTGAAAAAACAACACGATTTTTTCTAGTGCCATTATTCACAATGATAAAATTCGCCAACACACTTTAGAATATACTTTTCAATGGGAGCTTCTCAAAGTCGACCAATTTTGAAAATTTGTATTTCATAGTTTTGCAAAAATTTTTATTTCTTTAGGTGCTATTATGTCATTATTTATGACTGTAGCCCTAGATATGTCATTCGCGGTTATTGTTCCAAAGCTTAGATGTATAAAAATAATAAAAAAGGTCACAGTTCTACCAAATCTCTTGGTTCCACTTAAAAGCTCAAAACTTTCAAACTACGTAAAATTGTTTTTCTAATTTTTTTTTGCAATAGTTATAACCACGTTTTGACTTGACATTGAGTTCTGAGACACTCTGTCTATAATATTAAAATTTATGAATTATCTTGCCTCAAAAATATAAAAATGTGGATATGAAAACTATATAAGTAACAATCAAAATAATCAACTTCTAAATCAATATTTTCATAAAATCATTCATTGAAACTATATTTACAACGATATATTTATATCAGCAATTTCTCATATATAATTTTATAAAACAGAAATGGTTACTGGAAAGCCACTGACAGTGCGTCCATCAAAAATAATATCCGGTCACGAACCCGAGAAAACTAATGAACTCCTACAAGCAATAGGTTTTGCAATAGAAAACAATTTAAGTAGCACCGATGCCACAAATCAGATTCTGAGAAAAATGTCCAAGAAGGACGGAAATACTACAGATCGAAAATCGACAAGGGTGTCCCCGCCAAAGATTAGTCCGCCAAAAACAGTGCCCAGTAGCAAAACAAGCAGTAAAAGTGGATCTAAACCGGATACAACCAGAACTAAGCAGCAAGCTGATTCGCGAACAGAAGCTTCTAATAAGAGGAAAGTAGATTCAAAGACAAAAGACAAACTTTTAGAAGTCACTGGCAAAAAGGAAGTTACTAAATCAACTTCTTCTAAAGAAACTAAAAATTTACGAAAACCTACTAAACCTGATGCGCCACGCAGTGCTGAGTTGGAAGCGCCTGGTAAAGCGGCAAGTGACCCTGAAGAAGTTGCATCAGGACCAAAACTTGATCGACAAAAAACTGAAATTATTGATCCTGCAAAGATACCCTCGCCGGTTGATATCTCAAACGACCAGGCCAATAACGACGATTCAAAGCCTCCAATTGAGGAAAAATCGGTTTCAAGAAAAAGTTCCCTGACAGATAAACATCATGTTCCAGAAAAGCCTAATTCAAGAAAAAGCTCAATAACCGATAAGACAGATCTATTACATAGACAGCGAAGCAGGGCAGATAGTTTGAAACCTTCTTTAACTGAAACCATAAAAAGTGACAAAAGTGAAGTATCATTAGATTCAAATATAAATTTGAATAGTGAAACAAACACAGAAAATAAAAGCGTTACCTCTAAACATGAGCCAAAATCAGAAGAGCTCCGTTTGAGTGGAGATGGTATGCATTTAAATTCCAAATCACCTAGCAATGTAGATAAAGCAAAAGAGAAAAAGATTGAGCAAAGTTTTGAGAAAAATGAAAATACTACTCACATCGATGAAAACTCTGAAACAGTAAGCAGCACATCTAAACAAGATGCTGAAAAGCCAATAGCTAAAGAAGTTCCAATGAAATCAGCCAGACCTCCTTCTGTAAGACTAAAGACTAGTTTGAGACCTCCTAGTGTTAGACCAGTTTCTGCCAGACCTGGTGCGCCAAGAATCCGTGATAAGCATTCAGATATTGTCATTGAACCGGAGGAAACTACAACATTAGGCAAGGTAATAATTGGATTTCTTTATTTTTATTTAATTATGCATAGCATAAACATATAGAATCATACAGTCTTAAGCGTTAATGTAGTATATGGAGCTTTATTGCCTTTTTTACAAACGTACGTGGCAGGTGTTTCTTTTTTTCAAATTATTGATCAGTGTTGCATAGTTTATAAAATCGTAACATTTGATAAAAACTAAGTTAAATCAACAAGTTTCTATATGTTTGTTGTAAAGGTTTTGATATTTAAAAAAGTTTATATTGATGATAAATTGGGCTATTTTCATGAACTAAAGATTTTTTTCAAAGTGCACAATAAATTAAATTATTGAAAATTTGTCGTTTAAGATGTTTACGTATGCATAGCTGCGCATAAATAATTATTTATTAAAGATTATAATCTTTGACGCAATTTTATGATCGCAACTCGCTTTTATGCGATTTATAATGTGGAAAAGTATTTACTAATATTTTTCAGAAACGATATACAATTATTTTATTTTTAATTTATTATTTATGAATAATATTATAATTTGTTAATTATTTAGAAGCAAATTTGAAAGAAGTCTATACACTAGAATTGAATAAATTATTATTAGTTAATATAAAAGCAATTGGAATTGTATCACAAAGTTTAAAATGAATTTAATATATTCAAATAATAAATTTATTAAGGTATAGGGTAGGCCGGGGCACAAAGGTCTAATTTGACTTTTAGCAATTAAATTACATGTCATGTAATGTTTTCATGTAGTTGGTTTAGTGTGACCAAAACATTTAAATAACATATATTTAACAAACTGGGGTGCGTGGCATCGTGCCTTAAAGCAAATTGCTGAAACTTCCCGTACCGCAATTAAAAATCTTGGTACGGAACCCAAAAAAAACTACACAAAATGTGTACACATTATAAAAATCTCTGTAAAATATCTCATAATTTGATGTGCATAAGTTCAATAAACATTTTTGACCGCCAAATGACATTTTTTCAACTTATTTTTATTGAGAGTCCATAACCGCTGGACCTGCCTTTACAAAAATTGAATAAGTTCTTCATATTGTCAATACAAGTAAAATATTTTTTTAATTATTAAAATCGGTAAAAACGCTCCGTTCTCTTAAAAAATGAGTTACCGTTTTTGGCACTTTTTGCCCCGTATCATCGGAACGGCTCGACCTGCTTTCGCCAAAAACTAATCAGCACGTCTCCTTATCAACAGCAATCAAATGTTTTTTTGAATTATTCAAATCGGTTGATCCGTGTTTCCGAAATCGTCGAATTTCTTTTTATTTACTAATTCCATATTGCAAAGGTTTTGGTCCTCCTTTTTACCACAACCACACGTAAACTATGCTAGAGATTATATAAAAAACTGTCGATCTATCTCAGAAAAAACTAGGACATAAACTTAAAAAATATATTTAGTTATCGTAAACTAAACAACCGTGCTCAAAAACAAAAAAGACTAACAACAACAAAAAATACTCGTTTAAAATGTTCCAATGTAGTCGTTTATCTCGTGATAGTTTGTTACTTATTTTTGCCCTTCACTTTCAAATATTGTTGATGAAAAATTCCTAACTTTACTTGTTTTTGAGATAATGGTGGCGAACCTAAGATCCGCTCTACCCTATATTCTTTCAGTGGTACTTATTAGTTAATCTCTATTTTTAGTTAATTTTATTAGTTAATCTCTCATATCTATTAGTTAATGGAGGCAATTCCAATAATAAAACATTAATTATTTAGCATTTGTATAGCAAAGTAAATTCGATTTCATAGACATGGTATTGGTTTATTGGATGCTACTAATATTTAAAAAAAAACATAGAAGTTGCTAAACTTCTATTTTCTAAATTGTTAATTTATCCTCTAGAACTATTATTAACTTCTCGTAGGGTAAGTTATAATAATCCCAAAAAAATCAAAAATGAAAATTTCATATATCTTTACGTTTCAGAGGTTTCTGAACATTTTGGCATACCTAAGAAAAAATAGATATATATGCGTGTGTGTGCGGATATCAACCGATTTGAATAATTTAAAAAACATTTGATTCCTACTGATAAGGAGACGTGCTGATTAGTTTTCGGCAAAAGCAGGTCTAGCCGTTTCGGAGATACGGGGCAAAAAGTTCCAAAAATATTAACTCAGGTTTTAAGAGAACGGAGCGTCCGATTTTTATAATTCAAAAAACATTTGACTTATATTGACGAAATGAACAATTGGTAAAATTTTTATAAAGGCAGGTCAGCGACTCCGGAGATTGAATAAAAAAAAGTAAAAAATAATGCCATCGTATTATCAGATATTTCCGTACCAATGTTTAACGTTAGACAACTACGCGGCGCTTACGCGCTTTGATATTTCAACTCCAAATCAGCTATGCAGCGCTTAGATGTAAGAAAAAATGTTCAAATTTTTCAAAAAAAAAACAACATACAAAAAAAAACGAAATATAAAAAAATCATATTTTTCAAAAAAGTGAATTTTTTTAAAAATATCAAAATTTCTCAAAAGTCTGATTTTTTCAAAGTTTTGCAAATTTTTTTTTAATTACATAGTTTTTAGTACGAAAAGTTCCAGCAATTTGTCTTAAGGGCCAGCGGTGGCGATATCGTTTAGAGCGAGGGCTAGCACTAACTAGTCCCGGGTTTGCTGGTTCGATTCCCGCTGCGGCCAAGCCTGACATCAGGCAACTTTGATGACAAGTTTCCACTTGAGATTATAGATCTCAAATATAGCCTCAAGTGATAATCGCCTCTAGTGGGTATAGTTGCATATATAATAAAAATGTCAGCAAATACTTCGAATATAAATAATTAGTCATAACTGGACTGGACTACTGGGTTGCCATCCAATTCAAAATTCATATAATAAGAGAAGTTTGAGTCCTAAGCCTAAGTCTAAATTTTGTCTTAAGGCACGATCACTAGTTGTACGTTTTTTGTATGTATGAATATACGTGTGTGCATAAACATTAAACCCATGTAAGAATAATAATACATATAAATCTATTTATCACCTATTATTGCCTGTGATAAAGACGTGTAACTTGCATATATGCTTATATCGATATTTACTTAATTAATCAATTCAAATTACTATGGAATTATTCTAATCTGATTATTCTAATCATTTATTTAAAATTAAATTCCGGATACATTGTTGTGATTTGTATGATAAGATAACCAAGTAGTCATTATTAACTTGTTATCGCCCACTTATATAATAATGTTATATACATATGTTCATTACATTTGGCAAAAATATCTATCAACAGATAAACGTAACACTTGAAGTATTTGATGGAAATTCAATGAATGCCACTGATGACGCCGATGACGCGGAAGATCTGGTTGTGATCGAAACTAAGGAGGACACCAAACATGATAAAACTGAACCGGAAGCATCTCAGGATGGTGATAATATGGACGAAAATGGACGTGGTCGTTTGGTAGGACAAATTTTGAGCACGCAAAGAGCTCTTGGACAAAATACTAAGCCTGTATCTCAAAAGGTTTGTAATATATATAAAAAACTATTTTGTACAAATTTGGCGAAACTAAAATATTTTTTTAAATTTATTTGTACGAATAATCTGCTCTTGAATTCTAATCTTATCGTATTTTCTTCTTGCTTCTTTATTCAAATTCAACTCAACTTAATTCTGATCTTATCCAATTCTAATTTTTCTTGCTTTTTTCTTATTTCTAATTTTATTCAAACTCAATTCAACAATTCTAATTATATTTAATTCCGAATTAACTAATTTCAAATTCTACTTAATTCTATTTTTACACGATTTCTAATTAACAATTCAATTTCTATTAAGTTTTTCATATTTTTTATGTAATTGCCCAGAATTGATCCAAGGGCCGTTGGCTATTCAAGGCAATAGTTTCCAATCTTATCGTATTATGCCCTCCCCCCTCTTGTTGTAATGTAATTTCATAAATAATCAACTGATATTATAATTCAAATATCAGGCTATAAACTAATATGCAATTTTATTTAAAAATATACATAAAAAGAAATTATTTATTCATTCATTTTTATTACATTTAAACATTTATGGTTTATTTTTGAAAATGAGAACTTAGAAACAGCGGTATGCCCCACTTGTATAACAGCTTCGCGCACCCTCGTTTCTCTAAGGCAGTCTTACTCAAAGTGGGTGATATCGCCCCTCGGTGGGCGATTGTAATATCCAGGGGGGTGATATAAAAAATGTTGGTCATTAACCGGAGTTAGGGGGCGATATAAAATTTGTAATTTCTTTTATTCTATATTTTAAATTTTACCAGAATTTGAATCCCAACGATTAATTGGTTCAAACTACCCTGAATGATGACATAGGAACTTAAAATACTTCACTGGTGAATAATGAAACAGTTATTAAAAATGTACCAATTTAATATTTGGTAGGGGGGCGAAACCAAAATTTTGATCTTCAAAGGGGTCGTTGGAAGAAATAAGATTGAGAAACGCTGCTCTAAGAAAACGCGCTCCACAGTTTGGAAAACACGTGTTTAAGAATATAATAAAAAACAGTTTTATTAAAGATTTTTTAATAAGAATTACTAACAAGTGCGCGCAAAACTTTTTTTGATCTATGTTTTTTTTGCTTTAAACTTTGTGAACAACTCCGAACAATTTTCTTCATAATTAAGTCTATTTCAAGCCGAGTCTTATCACTAGTCTACAGCATACTTGTGGCACACAGACGAAAAATTCGTTTTCGTGAATTTTAACTTCCTGTAAGGTGAGTTATAGTAATCGCAAACAAATCGAAAATAAATTTTTTTGCATATCTTTACGTTTCAAAGGTTTCTGAACATTTTAGCATACCTTAGAAAAAAATGGATGTGTGTGTGCGCGTGTGTGTATGTGTGTGTGTACGGATACAAATTTTCGTTGACGATTTAGGAACCCGGTTTAACCGATTTCAATTATTCAAAAAACATTCAATTCCCATTTATAAGGAGACGTACTGATTAGATTTTGGCAAAGGCAGATCTAGCCGTTTCGAAGATACGGGGCAAAAAGTGCCAAAAACGGTAACTTAGTTTTTAAGAGAACGGGGTGTCCGATTTTAATAATTCAAAAAACATTTTACTTGTATTGACAAGATGAAGAACTGATTAAATTTTTAGGAAGCCAGGTCTAGTGGTTTTGGAGATCTAGTAAAAAAAGTAAGAAAAAAGCCATTTGGCGGTCAAAAATGATCATTAGACATAGGCACAACTAATTATCAGATATTTTATAGAGATTTTAATAATACGTATAATTTTTGTTTTCATTTCTTTGGGTTGAGTACGTTGCGTAAAATCGTTTGTCCTTTAAATGGCGACGCGGCGCTTACGCGCTTCAATTTGTCGTCCCTATGCAGCAAAAGCAGTACGATGCTTTAAAAAGTTAAAAATTTCCAAAATATTTCAAAATAAAGAATTCTTTTTTTTTTAAATTATTCTTTTCCAAAAAAATTAAATTGTTTCAAAAATTTAAAACTACTCAAAAATCTAATTTTTCAAAGTTTAAAAAAAAATTAATCTTTTTTAAAAAAAAAAAAAAATTGTGTACTGGAAGTTGCCATGCCAAACTATAGTTTTAAATTTTAAAAAGTAAATTTAATTTAGAACTGAAATTTTTAAAGTGAGAGGCTATTTTAACCAACCTTTGGATTTTTGCATTATAGTATAGTAAAGTATAGGTTCATATAAGCATTTTTGTCGTATACATCGCATCATCAGATATTTGATAGGTTTTTGTAATTTTAATATCAAGTAATAGCAAAGATTTAATTTTGAAGTAATATTTTCAAAAATCCGTAAAAGTAAAAGCCGGGCCTCACGGTGGAAATCAGGGACTGTCTCGGCCAAACCCGAGCATATTCAGCCAACTTAGTAAAACAGATTTGTTTAAATAAGCAATTCTTTAAAATAATGTAATATATGTCATTCACAAATGTCATTTAATATCCATTGACTAAGGCAACCCATTTTGTGAAATATTATATATTATATTAAATTAAACTTACAGGATAATGAGTCTACAAGTGTATCAAAAACCGATCTATCTGCCCTGGATGCTTTGCGAAATTCAGTGCAAAATCTTAGCGGAGCTGCTTTACCTTTGGGAAGGCTATTGGACTTTCTACAGGTTTAAATATATTTTATTTTATTAATATTCCAATTTATTACATATAATATTTTTTATTTATATAGGAAGATGCAGACTCGATGCGCCGTGAATTGCGCCAATGGCGTGACACTTACACTCAAACAGTCGAAGAATTGAAAAAGGACACGGGGTAACAAACGATTTTTTTCTTTAATAAAATTCAAATGAAAAGTTTATTTAGTTATTAATTTTAATAAATAAATTGTTTATTCTTAGAATAACTGAAAAAGTAATTCAACCACTGAAACATCAGCTGGCTCAATTAGAAACTCAAATATCAGAGCAGCGAGAGTTAATTCATTCATCTAAGGCTAATGTACTGAAACAAGAAGAAAAGATTAGAAAAATTTTATATGAATGTTAAATAACAATATATATTATCTGTTAACATTTGTTAAAATTTAGTACAGATTTTGATATATATTTTTAAATAGCAACTCTAATAAAAATTCGATTAATTTAATGCACATGTTAAGAAATATATTGTTACTGGCCAAAGCAAATATTTATTTTGTTAAAAGTAAATGAATGATTATTTAAAATAATTATATAGTTTTTTTAATTTAAATATGCCATTATTTTAACTTGTTATAAGAGAAGATTAAGTCGCCCGATTTGTTAATTTTAGGTTTTCACTTCTTTTCAAGAATTCATGATCGTTTGAGACCCAAATTGGAAAAGATTTGTTTTGCTGTGTATTAGGGAGTTGAAATTTCACTTTTCCCAGGGGTTTCCAAAAAGCGCTGACCGATTTCAAAATTTTAAAAGCCATTTAATGAACCTTGATAACTCGTTGAATGGTTTTGCGAAACGGCCTGGCAAGTCATTTCTTTCGAATTTGTAAATTAGTAACATTAATGCCAGATTTTTCAAAAATATTCAATAGTTAGTTTTCGATAATATTTGTCGAGCCATTTCTTATGAATTAGTTAATTTTTATTTTTTTTTGTCTAGTTCAGTGAAGCATCTTAAAATTTTATAAGCATACAAAAAGTGATTTAATTAGGAAAATTCATCAAAGAATAATAGGCAGGGTCAAATTTTAAAATTAAAATAATTCTAAAAATTTCTAGATGTTAATTCTTATTGATTAAGTCGATTTTTTTTTTAATTTTTTATTTGCCTCTTTTACAGCATTTTTAGCCACCTACATTATTCATATTATTTTTTATCATATTCTATACAATTCTTACATATATATTTCTTATACATTCATCATATATATATATACTATCTCTTCTTATATCCTAATCTTCCATTCAATTTTTCTTTCCTCAATTCCATTTTCATTCTTCTTCTCAATATGTTCTTTTCATCTTCTAAACTAAACTTCTTTTTTTCTTTTAACTTCTAATACATTTTTTCTTGCATTCTACAAATAAACAATTCTTAATCTACTTTAATATTTTATATTTTTAATTCCCTAAAATAGCACCCTTTTAATTCTTCCAGCGTGTGAGTCGAGAACGCAACTGAATGAGCTATTCCCGCCACATTTAGTCGTTTATTTACATATATAAAAAAGTGTATTTGCTAGAAGGCAAAATACCACTTACACCTAGTTATGTTTTGATTATATATGTATATGAAAGCAAATTGTGCATTTTCTAATATTTCTTCGGATAACGCAGCGGTTTCCAACCTGGGGGCGCGCCTTCTCAGGGAGACGCGCCTTCTCAGTAGGGCGCGTACAAATGTTGCCAGAATACTATTATCGAAAATAACCCAACATTTTTGAAACGATATTAAAAAATAAACAAAAAATAATTAGTGTTTATGCGTATTTTTACCTAAAATTGCATATTAATTTGTCGTCAGTTAAGTATTTATAAAATTAAACTGTTAATAAAATTAAAGGGGACGGAACAATTTTTTTATTAGAGCAGGGGGCGCGGTGCAAAACAGGTTGGAAACCACTGGGATAACGCCTTAAAAATTTAAATGTTGATAAATCTTTATTAACTAGTGTTAATTAGTTTTGCTTAATAATTTTAATTACCCGAATGAGAACTTCGTGTTCGCGAAAAAATCCGATTTGCTAATTTTATGTTTTCTCGACGATTCAAATCAGTGTGTGTCTGTATGACTGTTTGTTTCCACACATACACGCACACACACATCAATTTTTTCTGAGGTATGCCAAAATGTTCAGAAACCTTTAAAACGAAAGATACGTAAACATTTTCATTTTCGATTTTTGAACTTAGATATACCCTACGAAAGGTTAAAAAAAAAAGTGAAAAAGCAATGTTTGTAACCAAGGCCGATTCTGGGATCCTCAGCATGCAATTTTAATTGTTCGATAATTTTAATTGTTTAAACAGTTTATCATTAAAATTATAAAAACATTTATGTAATTTTTTAAATTATTTTTAATCATTTTAGATTTAGTACATAGAAAATAAGATATGTAAAAGCGTATTATATTGATTTTAAATTTATATAGAAAATGGAAAATGAAATTGTTTGCATTTTTCGACGTTTTGAAGGTTTCTGAACATTTTGGCATACCTCAGAAAAAATTGATATGTGTTTGTATGTATGTATGGATACAATTTTTCGTCCACGTTTTCGGGTGTGCGGATCAACCGATTTGAATGGTTCAAAAAACATTCGATTCCTATTGATAGGGAGATGTGCTGATTAGGTTTTGGCAAAGGCAGGTCTAGCCGTTACGGAGATACGGAGCGAAGAGTGCAGAAAATACAAATCGAGTTTTTGAGAGAACGGAGTATCCGATTTGAATGATCTAAAAAACGTTCAGGTTGTAATGATTGGGAAAAGAAGTGATTAGTTTTTAGCAAAGGCAGGTCTAGATATTTCGAAGATACAGAGCAAATTGTGCAAAAATAGCAGTTTTTGAGAGAACTAAGCGTCCAATTTGAATTATTCAAAGAACTTTCTGCTTGTTTCAACAAAATAATTGCTTTTGGAAAAAAATTTTTGTTCCTAATTTTTTTTTCTTTTTTTTTTAAAGAATTTTTTTTTTGTATATCGAAAATAATTCAGATGTTAATTTTAATTCTGTTCTAATATAGTTTAAACAAATAATTTCAACTTTGCAATTCAGTTTATATAATTCTTATAAATATTCCACAATGTTACAATATTTATAAAAAATTATTTGAAAACATTTAATATTCCTCGATCATTTCGTTACGGTACGGGAAGTTCCAGCAATTTGCCTTAAGGCGCGATGCCATGCACCACTAATTCATATTGTCTTCATTTCCATGGCTTCAAAATTCAAAGTTCATCAGATGCAAAACTTTTACTATAAAAACAAAAGTTACAATTCAATTTCTCGGAATAAATAAGCCATTTTCTAAGCACCGACTCCCCATTTTCCATTCTTTCTGTTTTTATTTAAATTTTATTTTTTAACTTCCCGTAGGGTAAGTTATATAGTAATCGCAAAAAAATCGAAAATCAAAATTTTTATATATCTTTACGTTTCAGAGGTTTCTGAATATTTTGGCAAATTGATGTATGTATGTATGTGTGTGTGCGTGTGTATGCGTGTTCGGATACAATTTTTCGTCGACGATTTCGGGAACAGGGAAGAAGCGATTTGAATATTTCAAAAAACATTCGATTCGTATTGATAAGGAGACGTGCTGATTAGTTTTTGGCGAAGGCAGGTCTAGCCGTTCCGAAGATATGGGCCAAAAAGTGCCCAAAACGGTAACTCAGTTTTTAAGAGAACGGAGCGTCCGATTTCAATAATTCAAAAAACATTTTACTTGTATTAACAAGATGAAGAACTGAAGAATGAAAATGGAATTTTTATGAAGGCAGGTCTAGCGGTTTCGGAGATCTGGTGTAAAAAGTAAACAAATGCCATTTGGCGGTCAAAAATGATCATTAGACATATGCACATCAAATTATCAGATATTTTATAGAGATTTTAACAATAAGTATAAGTTGTTTACATTCCTATGGGTCCGTACCAATGATTATCCATTAGACGGCGGCGCGGCGCTTACGCGCATCGATATTTCGTCTCTATGCAGTTAAAGCAGTACGATTGCTTTGAAAAAAAGTTCAGAATTTCCAAAATATTTCAAAATACACTTTTTTTTCAAAAAAAAGAAAATTTTTGTCAGAAATTTATAGTTTCTCAAAAATCTAATTTTTCAGAGTAATTTTATTTAAAAAATGTTAATCTTTTAAAAAAATAATAATTTTTGGTACGGGAAGTTGCAGCAATTTGCCTTAAGGCACGATGCCATGCGCCCCACTAGTTAACTGTTTCCGTTTCAACTTGTTAGATAGATTATTATAATCTATTAAGTGTTCTTGATATTATATTGAAAAAAAAATATATATTATAATTATGATTATAAATTAAATTATAAAATTTAAATTTTATATCCGAATCTCGTTTTGGCGCATTTTTCGCATGCATTGCATGCAAGGACCCAGTAGGTTCGGCCATATATTCTTCTTTTATCTATGGGTCCGGCCCTGTTTATAACAATTACATACACAATTAATTTGAAAAATTTAACAAAAATACTTTCTACGGGAAGTTATAACTTATTAACGTACATCTTATTCTAAATATTGTCTTAGTTAACGTTATTATAATTACGTTACATGGATATTCAATATTTTTGGCATGACGCATATTTTATCCCAAAAACAACAACTTTAAAAATTTCTAATCAACACGTAATTCTAATACAGATATCCGTAAAACAAATTTGAAATGTAAATATTATCATTTGAAATGTTTGTGCGAGCGCATGTGATTTGAGTGTTATGAATCTTTATATCAGAAGAAATTCCTCTTTGCTCTAGTTGTCATCGGTGGTCAATATTTTTGCAACACGTACATTAAACAAAACACCAATGAAACAATAATTCAGAGTATTAGAAAGTGACGACTGAATTCTATCATAGCATATCGGCTCGTTCTGCTTCTTTCCAGTTTATTTCAAATTTACTAAATCACATGACAACCGACAGATAATTGAGTTCTTACCTGCTGTCAGATATCTGAGGAGATAGTGAAAAGTAAATAGATAAAATTATTGGTTCCGTATTATCGCTGAAACGCGATAATATTCTCACACTAAGTTCTATAAAACTTTCAAAATTAGTAAATACGAGAAAATGGAAGACGCTCCTCTATATAATGAGAAACAATCAATACGAGAGAAGGCGAAATCATTGAAAAAGTATGGCAGTACGTGTAATCATTTTAAACGACCTGAATTGCTGTTAAAGTATTTTATCACCAAAACTGATACGTTACAAGGGATTGCTTTGAAATATGGAGTCACTGTAAGTATTTTACAATTGAGGTTATAATAATATATCACTGATAAAACGTTTCCTAAAGTTGATTGCCTTATATACTGATCATTCATAATAAACTACTAATTTTTAATATTAATAAGATTAGTGATTCGCCAGACACATGTATCATTTCATTACTGATTTATATTCATTGTTCGTAAGTCACACTTTCAGGGAATATTTTTTGCTCGATTGTACTCCAGTCCATTTTTAAAAGACTGATATCACTACATTAATTATATGCATTGTGAAATGTACATATATTTCAGTTGATATAAATAGTGGTTTAGCAGTTTTTTTTACTGAAAATAGTCGTGGAAGTTTATAATTACTATATTAAATGTTTTAATTAAAGTATGTTTAAGATAATTTGTTACTACAGCATCTACTGTAAAAACTAAACAATATACTACTAATTTTTAATATTAGTAAGATTAGTGATTCACCAGACACATGTCTCATTTCATTACTGATTTATATTTAATCATTGTTTGTAAGTCAAACTTTCATGCAATACTTTTTGCTCGATTATACTGCATTATAAAAGACAGATATTACAACATTTGGTAAAATGATTCGTGCAATGTAAAAGTTATACATATTCATTGAAATATGCATATGTTGATAAAGATAGCAATTTAGCAGTTTTTTTTACTGAAAATGGTAGTGGAAGTTTATAATTACTATATTAAATGTTTTAATTAAAGTATGTTTAAGAATACTTGTTACTACATCTACTGTGAAAACTAAACAAAATACTACTAATAAGATTCACCAGACACATGTATCATTTCATTACTGAATTATATTTAATCGTTGTCTGTAAGTCAAACCAGCATGCAATATGTTTTGCTTGATTGTACTACAGTTCCATTTGTAAAAGACACATATAACTACATTTGGTAAAATAATTCATGCAATGTAAAAGTTATACATATGCATATTTCAGTTGATAAAGATAGCAATTTAGCAGTTATTTTTACTGAAAATGGTCGTGCAAGTTTATAATTACCATATTAAATGTTTTAATTAAAGTATGTTTAAGAATACTTGTTACTACGGCCTCTACTGTAAAAACTAAACAATATACTACTAATTTTTAATATTAATAAGATTCACCAGACACATGTATCATTTCATTACTGAATTATATTTAATCTTTGTTTGTAAGTCAAACTATCATGCAATATTTTTTGCTCAATTATATTGCAGTATAAAAGACAGATATTACTACATTAATTACAACATTTGGTAAAATGATTCGTGCAATGTAAAAGTTATACATATGCATTGAAATATGCATATGTTGATAAAGATAGCAATTTAGCAGTTTTTTTTTGTCGTGGAAGTTTATAATTACTATATTAAATGTTTTACTTAAAGTATGTTTAAGAATACTTGTTACTACAACATCTAATATTAAAACTATACAACATACATCACATCTCATAGCACATATCAAACAACCAACTATCAAAATATGTCCAGAAAGTTTGCCATTTTCTTGTAAAACATTCCATCTGTCCCCATTTACACCAAACACACCCAATGTCTAGTTTTTAAGTATAAGAATCAGCATATTTTAATTATTCTTTAATTTTTCATTTGGTTTTTGTCTGATTCACTGTTATGTCAATTAGTTATTGACTTTAATAAAATATGTAATTTTAACATAGATATAAATATTAAAAACTATTTTGAATTCATCATTTAAGATGTATTAGGTTGGAAACTAAGTTTTTGTTAGAAGAATGTAATGTATTGTTCATTTTGATCAAGACTTTTCGTCATCTTTAAAGCAGCATCATCATCCCACTTTTAAAAAACTTTTGGCTTTTATCAGCAAAAAATTGAATCAGGTACAATTTGATCCCATCATCATTATTGAATTGATTACTATTTGAGGAGTTTTATAAAGATCTAAACAAAAAGTAATCAGAAAGTGCAAGGTCAGGATTATATAGTGAATGTGGTGAAACATCCCAATGAAACTCTAATAACTTTTGCCAAGTGGCCAAAGACATGCCAAAGATCATTTATCCAATTCAGACCATTTTTTTCAACTACATTGTTTAATTTTGTTAGTCGTTCAATGTAGACATCAGAATTGATCATTTCGTTGGTAATAATAGTTCGAAGTAGATAATTCCTTTTTAATCAACTTCTCCTGGTCAACCAGAGCATCTTCACCTTTGAGTGAAAAATTTTGAAACTTGGCAAACTTCTATTATTGGCACTTTCATTTTTTTTAAGTCTTTGTCAACATAAACATCTCATAATTTTTTGTGAGCTTAGGATAACTTGGTGCCTTTGCAAATCTAAATTTGCAATAGAAAAGCAAAATATGACAACAAAAATAGATTTGATTTTCCAACTTTCAATGAACACCAAACGAAAACTACACACAAAAATGTCTTTTTTAATGATGGACATCTAAGTTGCCTGCTATGCATTACCAAGAGATATTTTACATTTGGAATACTTCTGCAAACCAAAAAATTCAATTGATACCACTTAAGCTGAAAACCACACTTACTTAGTTTCCAACCCATTAGTTATTTTACATATTGATCATCTATTATTATTAACAATGAGATAAATTACAATTGCAGTTCTGAATTGCCATGATAGAAACATTTTATATTTTACATCTTCTGATATATATCCTTTACATTGCAGACGGAACAAATTAGGAGAGCAAACAGGCTGTTTGCATCAGATAGCTTATTTCTTCGAGAATATCTTTTAATTCCAATTACAAAAGAATCGCCCTACTATGACCCGAATAATGAGAATATAATTGAAAACCGAATTACACATAGAGCATCAGTAGCCACAATGCAAAGCATACCAGATAGTAATGTTGTAACACCAACAACACCAGAAGATCAGACTTGTATAGATAATTTCTTAGATAAAGTTGATACTGCTATAGCGATGACAAAGAAATATGTTAAACAACATCAGGATTCTATAGAGTGAGTAAATTAATAAATTATAATATGTCAAGTTGTATAAAAGTAGAAACTAATTAGTTCCAAATATATTTGTAAAACTATGATTTTTGTGTTTCTTTAGTGTAACTGATTTTCCATCAAATGGAGGTGCTAGTTTTCTAAGGAATAGTCATTCTAATTACGGATTAAGACATCAGGGTACTTCCTCATCATCAGGGAGCACCCATGAATTAGCCTCAGGTTTACCACACACCCAAATTGTAATGACGCAAGGTAGGAAAGTTAGAACATCTCTTCAAAGACTTCAGCAACAACAAGATGAAATGTTTGAGTTGTAGCAGTTAATGTGATATTAAAAATTATGGTAGTGGTTTTTGAGATAGTTTAAACCAAATACATGAAATATTAAATATTGATTCTGTATAAAGTAATATACATATGATTATTGGTATGTTAAACATTTAAATATATTTATATACACAAAAACTCTTAAAAAGATACGTAGTTTTTGCACTTCTAGTTTTGTAGTTATATATTTTGATTTTGAAATTTAAATATTTTATGAAATAATTTAAATTATATATGTATTAATATATATTTATAAATGACGGCAAATTATATATCAACAAGAATCTTGAGGATTTTGAAATGCTTTTATTAAATTTAAAATATCTGAAAATGCATGTAATTACAACTTTCATTCTTTTTCAAATTGTGTTCTTACTTTGGAAAAGAAGCGAACTTCACTTCATACTCAATTTTGAAATAAAATATAATTCACACTGATCAACATTCACAAATTGATCCAATTTCACATAGTGCTTATAAAACATATTTTCATTTTGCTTTTACTTATATATTTTGAAAAGAATAAAAAAGCAATGATAGAAAATATCTAAGTTTGATTAAAATGATGCCAAGTATTATTTCACTGAATACTTGAACTTCTAGTTTTAAATCAAACATAAATCCACATATAAATAAAATGTGATACAGGCTTGTAAAATAAATGCTTAATATTATATAATTCTTACTCACCAATTGCGCTGTTAGATATATTTCAGACATCATTGTAAAATATTATATCATGAACTAGTTTTTCATCAAAACAATAAATAAATTTTTGTATAAAACTATACTCACTTTTTTTATTTTTATATATAATAATATAATCAAAACTCTCAAACACACTAAAATCAATGTCAACATAAATACAATTACAACACTATTTTCAAACTAAATAAATGGCATACCTAACAATTTGATAGATGGTTTATACTGTTATGATTGTAAGTTTTAATTTTTTCACATTGGTAACAGAATACAAATTATATTAACAAATCTCTTATTCTCAAACAGTTTTTTTTTTACTGAAGTATACCATATATACGCCACTTCAATTATTTTTTAATAGTTAATACTTTAAAATAATTTAATATATGTGAGACCCCTATACAAAAATGTGCCCAAAGTTTATTGGAAGAATATTAATGAAGCAAAAAAAAAAAACGATTTTATTTCTTGCTTTATATAACAATCTTGATGGTGTTTTACAGCAAGAACTTTAAAAAATACTGACTAGTTTTATAATTTTGTATGTCCCAAACTGTTTTGAAACCATACCTTGAATCAAATTTGTTCTTTAAATTTGACCATGACTTCCAGATGAAATATATAATGTTTACAAGACTACAAGTTTTGTGTAAACTATTAATAAATTAGAAATTATAAATTATAAACTGGCAATTTCAACAATAATTATTACTCCAAAATCTTTACATTTTGATGAATATATATACACTGCAGTGCTCCAGATAAAGTTAATACTGCTGTGATAATAGTCTAGAGACAATTTTACTCAATTTTTGTTAAGATTCTAAACTGTTTTAAATTTGACTTAGAATTGTTTAGTAGTTTATTATTTTGATGTGCGTGTATTTATAATATATTTTTAACCAAACACATTATAAACATTAGCCAAGAAGTGACCCATTTTAATTTGTTTTAAAATTTTTGAAATCATGAATATTGATGGAACTTTAATTTGATAGAAAAACTAAAAGTTAGTTTTACTACATATTCTGCTACTTAAATTCTGTTCAAAATATTTATTTCAGCCTTTTATTTCAGCTTTCATAGTCTCAACTCTTGGATTTTGTAAAGTTCCAATTCTACTTCTATTGTTTTTGTTAAAAATTGCAAAAAAGGATGTTTATATTAATATTCAAGGTATAAGAGTAAAAATTTAAATACAATAAAACTTTTATTAACAATAATATGAACATTAGTCTTCTGAGTAGATGTGAATAATAACATTTTCTTACACTCAAATCATACCAAAATTTTATAAAATAAAAACTTCATAAAGTATCATATTTCAAATTCAAAGATTCCTAGTAATATGATAACATAACATTTATGATAATATATACTATGATATAACTTAAAACTTAATAGAGAAAAATTAGTCATTTTTTTTACTTTGGCGACTATCGTTTTAGTTTAGTAACTAATATCACAGTTATAATAATACCAATAAGTAAAGCTATAGCTATGAGAATGAGTAATTTCTTACGATTTTTGTTTTGTAGCTGTGCTGCTTTACGTAACTCTGAGTTTCCAGCTTCTACATCAATTGCTGCATTTTCTATAGATCCCTCAATGGTATCTAAAATAAATTACAAACATAAAAATTGTTCATATTACTCATACCATAACTTAAAAAAATTTTTAATTGCATATATGTAAATAATTAATCATCTTGAATAAATTTTGTAATATCAAAATGATTATATTAATCTAGAGTAAACAGAAATAATATAATGAAGAGTGAGACATAATTAAAAATGTCAAAGGTCATACAGATAAATACAAAAGAAAACAATGTCATAGTAAGCATAATTATAACACATTCATTTAAACAATATAATTAATTTTAAAAATTTGTGTGCTATAGTTTTGAAATACACAAATTTTACATAAATAGATTAATTGAATAAATAATTGTTTTTAAGCCTATACAAACCTATAGCTTCCCCTTGAGTGTGAACAAGAGCGCTTAATTCTCTCATGATCTGATTTACATCCAGAACATCTGCTTCAATTTGTTTAACTCTGGCTTCCCGTTCAAGCAACATGTCTCTTTCAAATTCCTGTTCATTTTGAATTTGTCTTTGAGCTTGTAATAATCTAGCTTGGTCATCAATATCATTTTGAATAGTTTCTTCAGCACTTGAAACAGACTGGTTTGGAAATTTCAAATGCTGTTTCATTTTCTCTGCAATTTTCTAAAAAAAACCAAATATTTCATAATTTTTGTCTCCAAAAAAATAAAAGATCATTTTTTAATATCTTTTTATTTTGATTGAAATGTTTTTTTAGTAGAAATTTCAAACAAAGAAAACAAAAACTGCAGCAAACCATTAGAAACCAGTAGTCAAAATGCAGTAACAAAAATGATGTAAAAAACAATTGTGCTAAATATAAATCTTCTAAAATTAGTGTTTTATCAACAATAAAATACAATATCTATATAATTCAAACAAATAGTTCATTAAATTAAATTACAAACAAATTTACTTGAAACTTATGAAAGTTGTTCATTTCATGTGATGCTGTTTCTACTTCAGCATATTTATATAAAGTAATATATTTTCATTTAATTAATATAAAAAAATGATTTTATGCAATTTAAAGAACACAAAATCTTGTACAAAATTCTTTTTTATTATTTTGAACACAACTGTAATCTAGATATTTCTAGATATTTAGAAATGTAAAAGAAGTAATAATTTGTTATGTCAATTATTAAATAAATCTCAATAAAGAGAAATTTTATTACCTTCTGCATCAGAGAGTACCTTTCCACAGCCTCTCTTAAGTCTGATGTAAGTCTTTCTGCTTGTAACTTTTGTTGTTTGTTTCCTCGTCTCACAACTTGGGTTAGCCTTTGAAGATCTCTACTTGTAGCTGATATTAGCTGGTTCGCACTTAATTGTGTCGTATGACTGGAAATAATATATTGCATTAGTAACCATTTTGGTATTGGCAATAATAAATAATCAGAACCATATTTATAAACTAATATGACATATTAGACTAAAGTTATAGCACAAGCATAATTGTTTTTCAGTCTTTTACTATTTTATCATAGATGATGTAATGGTCTAACTTTCAATAGAACTATTGAAAGTTATACCATTACATATGAAAATTAAACTATTCAATTATAAAAATAATACAATAATTATGTTGAAGCAGTTACATTTTAACTATTGATACTAATGCTACATTAATATCTTAATCAACATAGTTAACTTCATATTGCTAGAAAATATCTAATTAAATATATATAAACTCACATCTTCTCTCTTAAACTTTGGTTGTCTTTTCGAGTGCCAATATTATTCAAAGCTTTCTCTAACGTCCGCCAGCTGGAGTTAACAGTATAAATATTTGTAATTATATTTTCACTTAAATTATAAAGCTCTGTAGGGCTAAAACCCGCAAAGCCGACATCCGTGTTGGAAGGCATTGCTTCAATAGATGAAGATACTTCTGAGTTATTGACAGAGCCGTAAGAACGGTGAGTTCCTGGATTGTTTCCTCTTAACATGCTAAATTTAATCTGAAAAAATAGTTGTACCATAAAGTATAAAAGAAGTAGAATGAAGCAGTGCTTATTGATCTTATTTTTTACTGTGTATCTCTAATAAAAGTTCACAGTTTATTAAGGTATTAATTATAAATTCTACAAACAATTTTAAGCTTAGGCAAATATTGCATGCAAATTGGTCAAATTCTCTGATCAATAAAATTTTTTTACTGATTGAATTTGAGTTGTTAATTGATAAATATCAAAGTGTGAAAGAAATCAATAATCAAAAAATATGATTTGTTACTACTCAAATCACTTCATAACTTTGATAATAAATGATATTTTATTGCGGATGTATTAATGTTACAAATAAATAACTATTAATATAAATTGTACATACCTTAAGATATTACTATAATAATACTGTTGTAGAATAATAATTACAAAGGCCAATAACCGTAATTATATGACGTGTATTTTAATTTTAATAAAAAAAAATCGTGCACTTAGATTTACAACGTCATGTTTGGATGCTTATACTTGACTAATTATATATCTGATTAAAGAGAATTAATCAGCGTTGATTAACCGAATATTAATCTCGCAGAAATAAGTTTCAGAAATAAAATCATATAACGAATTAAATGCAGCGAATAGAACAAAGAATGAGTAACGGGTGACACTATCTTTTGACGTTTGTGATGACATTGGCTGTTGAGCTGTTGGTAGGGGTAGAAAACGGACAGTTGTGTTGCCATATTGCAAACAAATACCAACATGAAAAATGTTGCCATATTGCAAAGAAATACCAACATGAAAAATGTAATATGAATGTTAATTATGAAAAATTGAATTTTTGAAAAATTTGTTTAGTTACTTTGATATTTTTTGAATATCTTTATCTTTTTTTTACAAAGCAATCGCGCTGCGTAGTTGTTTTAGAGACGAAATATCAAAGTCTCACGAACAAACATTGGTATGAAACCCACAGAAATATAAACAAAATTTGGCTTATTAAAATTTTTTTTATTATTAAAATTTTGCCCACTAAATGGAATTTTTTTTAACTTCCCGCAGGGTAATTTATAGCAATGAGCCGAAAATCGAAAATGAAAACGTTTGCATATCTTTAAGTTTCAGGGTTTCGGAACATTTTGGTATACTTCAGAAAAAATGGATGTGTGTGTGAGTGTTTTTTTGTATGTCCGCATATTTTTGTCCACGTTTTCGGGCGTACGGATTAACCGATTCGGATGGTTAAAAAAAATCGATTTTTATTAATAGGGAGATGTGCTGATTAGTTTTTGGCAAAGGCAGGTCCAGCCGTTACGGAGATACGCAGCATACAGTGCAGAAAATAGAAATCGAGTTTGTGAGAGAACGGAATATCTGATTTCAATGATCCAAAAAGCTTTCAGTTTGTAATGATCTCGAGATTAGTTTTTGGCAAAAGCAGGTCTAGCCATTTCGAAGATTTAGAGCTAAATGTATGTATAAAGAATGGCAGTTTTTGAAAGAACTAAGCATGTGATTTGAATGATTCAAAAAACTTTTTGCTTGTGTTGTCAAAACAATTGCTTTTGGAAAAAAATATTTTGTTTTTTTTCGGTTTTTTTGTATATCGAAAATAATTCAGATTTGAATTTTAAGTCTAGCTGAAGTTCTAAATCTCACTTATACATTTTAAATAAATGATTGTAACTTTGTAATTTATATAATTCTTATAAATATCAGAAAATGTTACAGTATTTATAATAAAGTATTTATTTATTATAAATACTGACACAGTATACTTAATAATCAATTTCTCTAACATTTCATTACGGTGCAGGAAGTTCCAGCAATTTGCCTTAAGATTTTTTTTATTGAATCTCCAAAACCTGTCTTTCCAAAAATTTGGTAAGTTCTCCGTTTTGCTAATACAAATTAAATAGTTTTTGAGTCATTCAAATCGAACGGTCCGTTCTTTCAAAAATTGAATTACCATTTTTGGACCTTTTTGCCCTGCGAATTTGCCAAAAACTAATGAGGCATTCGGTTGAGCAGTGCTTTCAAAATTTTCGACAAAAATATGTATCCGCACCAAACACACACATAAATCCTTATTGTACTTACTTTGTAGTCTGATAATATCAATTGAGTATTTATGAAATGAAATAGTGGAAAAAATTAAGAGAGACGCAACTAATTTTTTTTTATTAGAAGGGGCGGTGCGAAAAAGGTTGGTAGCCTCTGTCTTATAGTGTTGTCATAATAGCGACATTGTAATAAGGCGTTCGTGTTTTCAAAAATCAATCTCTCAAATAACGAATATAATTTTGAATTCTGTAAAAATATTACCCTTTATTTAATTATTTCTAATCGATTTTAATTTTTTTATTGTAATTTATATATATATGTTAATAATAATTAAGATCATAATAAATCATCTACAGCAGTAATTAAATTATTATTATTTTTTTTCAATATCATTTAAGTTTTCGCGACGCCATACTTTATTTAAAATATAAATATAGCACACCATGACGCATTAGTTCAGAACACAAATTGATGACTTCAATAAGAAAACTGTGTCGACTGTAAGGTTGGAAAACTTATAAAATGATTTTAAAACATAAATTAGCGTTATGTTCATCAGTTCTGTTAATAATTTTAGTGAATCTTAACGTTATTGCTGCGCAGAAAGGTAGTTTTGATAAGAAACACAATGATTTATTTTAAGTTTTGATTGAACTCATAATCAGTAATCAACACATGCATGGATATTAATTATTACGTATGCAAACTCTCACATATACAGTAAACTACTAAGAATGTATAATACCTACATATATATATATATATATATATATATATATATATATACGTGTATGTATATGTATATATACAAGATTATATATAAATATATAACATATATGTAACACAGGCAAGCAGAGTCCAATTCTAGCTTATTAAAAATAGCTTGATTTTGCTTCTTTTTGTATGTGCGTATTAATACATGCGGAAACTGCAGGCACGATTCGTTGTAAGTATAAAATTTATTATAATCCTTAACTTTTATCATTTATTTTAATTAATTTCAATTAACTATTATACAAACTTATGTAAAGTGATTATCCGCTTAAAACGCGCGGGTTTTACGTTATAAGTAGAGCGTAAAGCAAAAAAGCGCTAAGCGGGGCTACCCCAACATGAAAGTATAATAGGATTAGGGATTGGTTGATCGAAAATTGTGCATTTTTAATAAAAATAGCGCCAAATATTTATTTTATGCTTATATAAAAATAATATAAACTAAGATACATAGAATACGGCGGAGCACAAAGTTCCAAAAGTTGACTTTGAGCAATTATTTTGTGAAAACCAAACCAATTAATTTATATCACAACAAATAACACACATTAAACAAACATGACTAAGTGTTCATTAAAACTCTCAGTTAATTCATCATTGTTAAAATATATTTTTTAGTTACTTTTTAAAAAATTGTCACCTGGTTAAAAAAATTCATCATTTTATTTTATTTTTTTTTAAAAAAAGTTTTATAGATTGATAACTACATTATGCAATAATTGCGATGCTCTTGATTTATTAGGTTAAATGACAAAAATAAAAATCATAATTGCATTTTTATTACAACTCTTACCACTTCATAAAACTTATTTTAGTAGTATTGATTTGATCTGATCAGATCTGATCAATTTATTATCATAATTATAATCAAACTCATTATTTCTGGAAATACAATAATTACAAATCGAGATAAATACACCTTCTATTTGAAATACATATTTTTAGGGCACATTTTTTATAAAGAACGCACTGATGGATACAATTTTCACTACATGAAACTTTGTCAGGAGAATTTATTATCAGAGTTAGAATAAATATTAATTTTATTTTTTTTATGTATTATTGCTTTTTAACTTCCCGTAGGGTAAGTTATAGTAATAGGCCGAAAATCAAAATTGAAAATTTTTGCATATCTTTACGATTCAGAGGTTTCTGAACATTTTGACATACTTCAGAGAAAATGGATATTATGTGTATATGTGCGTTTTTTGTATAGCGAAGAAAATGCCTTTATGCATCCCAGGCTGGTGTTTTAACTGGGTATGTCGGACTTAATATTACCGACTAAAACCTCCGCTTTGGCCTTGCCTCTGGTCTCCATGGAAACCGCCGTTCAGCATTACTTTGTGGGGGAAGGATTCAGAATGTTAAAATTCTTATCTTGATTTTATACTTAGCTTGTAATTGTGCGAAGTCCCATTTGCCCTTTCTCTTTCCATAGATCGCAGGTCAATTAGCACATCTCTCGCAAATCTGTCTATGGCGTTCCAAGCAGCTTCAGTTGTCAATATCGCTTCAACAACAGTATCTGAAGTAATTCTTCGCCTCATCGTCCCGTAGAGCACTAAATCGCGGGAACATGAAGAACACGTGCTCAGCATCCTCGATTTCGCCCTAACAATATGAGCAATCCGGCGAGCTATCGTGCTTGAAGCGGTGTAGGTAGGCTCGAAAACAGCCGTGCCCAGATAGCAATTGCGTAGTATAATAATTATTATTAGTGCAATTTAGTGCTCTACGGGACGATGAGGCAAAGAATTACTTCAGATACTGTTGTTGAAGCGATATTGACAAGTCTGGCTCAATCGCAAGCATAGGAAGTAAATTAATTTACTTTCCTATGCTTGCGATTGAGCCAGACTTTGACATTTGGAATGAGACGATGCGTCCATCTGCCCTTCAATGCGACATCCGAGTAGTTGCTGCCATCGGTCAATGCTATTCTGCCGTTCTTCTATTTCTCAACTTTTCAGGACTCAGATGTTGATGTCTTCGATGATAAATGGCCGTCTTTCCTCTGCTAAGACTAAGAGAGGCAGAGTTCCGAAATGACGCACAGTGCTTCCTCCGATATTGTGCAAAATGCGCAAGCAATCCTTAAAGCACTCAGCGTTATATAGGTCCTGCCATTCTCTTCGATTTTTTGAGTTTTGTATATGTGTGTGTGTGTGTTCGTATTCAGTTAGATCATTCAGCTTGCGTTTCCCATTTTTCACCTTTTTGGCAAGAAGACATCAAACGCAACTTGCGTTTTTTCTGGGTTCTTTTACAAGTTGTTGATGATTGGACAATAAGTATCCACAACACCTCATCTTACATTTCAACTTATGTCAAAATCTTTATAATTCAAAAAAATGCTCTATATTTTCTATCATTGGTCAAAGATCCATTTACAATACCATTGAAAGTTCTTTTCACTCTTCTCAAAATAATATTGTTGTTTTCTTCATTCTCATTTAATTTCTTCAGATCATCATTAGAAGAACTAGCCATGGACTAGCTGTGTTTCTTGAACTATTTCTGCAACAAATTCCAATTTATCTAATCCAATGGGATTGTTTCGCTAATTTCACTATTTCTTCCAAAATTTCAACCATTATACACTGGGCCGAATTAAAAACGTTTAACAAGTTAGTTATGCGGGGTATTACTTGATTGCTACATTGAAAAAATTTAAAGTAATAACTAAAATAACTTATAATTTGTAAATCATAGAAATATATTTAAAATGACAATAACTCTGTTATTTAATCTATAACTTTTGCATAACATAACACCATATTATAAATAGCAGAGATAGAAGTATTGCCTTTATGAGGCAAATGATGATTTCTTAGGAACGCAGTGCGAGGAGGATACTGATTGCAATAACCCTTTACAGTGGTGCAGTTTGGAAATTGCCGTTGCAAAGCCGGTCTGATACAACACGAAGGATTCTGTTTAATGGTTAGTCTGCTTAAAGTACTGAGTAGTATTGTTTTTCCGATTCTAATAATAAATTGACTTTTTATATCAGTCATATGCTATAAGCTAGGTTTCAATAATAATTGTTGTTTGTCCAAAATCACCATTGTTGTAAACGTTTCTACTCCTTTTGTTTTGTAACAATTTTATATGGGTGTTGGATATTTTTTTATACAAGCAGGAAACAAAATGAGCTAAAAGTACCAAACAAATTTCCAAAACTTTATGGTTCTTTTGTTTGTATAGACAAGTCAGTTTTTAAATTTAGAAAATATAAATATATATTACTAAAATTTGTTGTAATAGCAACTTTCCATATTTTTGAAATTGACAATTCAAAAACAATGAGAAGTAAAGTCTGCGCCTTGTCCTTAAGAATCAAACATTTTGATATCATTCAAATTAATCCATCTCTTTTCTAGCGTTTCTTAAAGATATACATACATACATACACACACAAACACACAAAGATATATAGAAATAGATGTTGGCATATGTATTATGAAAGTCTAATAATCGGACATAGCATCAATAAAAAAAAACAAATTTTTTTTAAGAATTTATTTTATATCCATGGAACAAAAATGGTATCAAAAAGTTCGAAGTTTGCTATAATCCGGTATTATTTGGTAAATCATCCTCGAAAGAAAGTATATTAAATAAAAAAAAGAATTTTGTCTTAAAATGTGTTTTTTATTTTATTATATTTACGCTTGTGTAATTATAAATAAAATATTATTAGGACGAATCCCGGTCAATCGCACGCCAAAAATGGAAGACAACGATAACATGAATCTCTCCTTTCGATCTTTCGGGTTTCTCAGGTTTACCCCTGAACGGTTTCACGTACTCTTGAACTCTCTCTTCAAAGTTCTTTTCAACTTTCCCTCACGGTACTTGTTCGATCGGTCTCGTGGTCATATTTAGCCTTAGATGGAGTTTACCACCCACTTAGAGCTGCACTCTCAAGCAACTCGACTCTGAGGAGAGATCCTCTCGATACGCGCAACGGTCGCTACGGGCCTGGCACCCTCTATGGGTAAATGGGCCCATTCAAGATGGACTTGAACTCGCCGCAACGCACCGAGATAATCGGATCCTCCCTAACACTACATTTCCCAGCGTCCGTCTCCGGCCGCGGGATTTAGTGCTGGGCTCTTCCCTGTTCGCTCGCCGCTACTAAGGGAATCCTAGTTAGTTTCTTTCCACCGCTTAGTAGTAATATGCTTAAATTCAGCGGGTAATCTCATCTGCTCTGAGGTCGTATTATGATTATGATGTGCTCGCAAACGTTAGTAAGCAAGCGCACACAAAATCGACGAGGAACCTTTGAATCGTCCAAATTTGCCGGAACGAAACCGCATTTCGAAGAGTTCGGGTTTCCGGTTATCGGGAGGGTCGCAAGAATATAAAATCTCTAGGACACACAACCCGCCGTAATCCCACAGAACGTCAACGAACGGTAATGTCCGATGTTGCAAAATGGACTGGCTCACACGTTGAGTGAATTATTTAAGAGCACGCATTTACGCGAAACTCCATCATTCGCCGGCAAGCCGTTTAAAAGCAAGCGGCAGTCTGGTAATGTTATACGACCTCAGCCAGAGTGGTCCGGGAACAGTATCCGAGGACCGCAATGTGCGTTCGAAATGTCAATGTTCATGTATCCTGCAGTTCACATGTCGACGCGCAATTAGCTGCGTTCTTCATCGACCCACGAGCCAAGTGATCCACCGTTCAGGGGTGATTTTATATATTTATACATGTTTCAATCGTGATTCCCTCGAAATCGTTTAAGATAACTCGGGCGATTCTGAAACTAGTTGTTTTTATGGTACAATTAGTACACCGTAAAGCTTTCGCTTTCGGTCCGAGATACGAGACCTCGTTTCAAAATTGAAATATGAATATTTCATTGTGTGGTGAGATTGAAAAATCTGCTTTCGCTGATCTTTCATTTTCTTAAAACAACGCAATGAAGCGAATGTTCAAATTCGCACAAATTTGAATAAATGTGCAGAGTATATAGAATACTAACGCAAGCGTTTACTACAATCGACTTTGAAACACTAGACTTTCATCTAGCGCCCAAAGAATTGATTGAGCTATGCGTTTAAAGTATAATATTCAAAAAGAACGCCCGTTTTCACAACGAACTTCGTCATTCGCTCAGGCATCTGGCGATACCGAGCAGATATACATGGCAGTGCTCTCACACAATGCATAAGAGCG